AAACTCTTCCAAACTTTAATGACCTTGTTAACATCCATCACTGTCTACTGTGTAATTATTGATAAGTAATTCTTGTACTTCACTAAACTCTTCCAAACTTTAATGACCTTGTTAACATCCATCACTGTCTACTGTGTAATTATTGATAAGTAATTCTTGTACTTCACTAAACTCTTCCAAACTTTAATGACCTTGTTAACATCCATCACTGTCTACTGTGTAATTATTGATAAGTAATTCTTGTACTTCACTAAACTCTTCCAAACTTTAATGACCTTGTTAACATCCATCACTGTCTACTGTGTAATTATTGATAAGTAATTCTTGGTAAGTAAAGTGTAGTATCTTGTAACGAGTGTGGTAAGTAAAGTGTGAAATCTTGTAACGAGTGTGGTAAGTGTGTGGTATCTTGTAACAGGTGTGGTAACTAAAGTATGATATCTTGTAACGGGTGAGAATCCATGGAAACAGAGATCAGTGGCAAAAGCTGTCTGCGTATCCTAGGTAACAACACACAATATAATCAAGAAGGATCTCTATCTAAAAAAAAGTGACACAGGTCATGTGCACATGTGGACCTGTCTGTTCAACCATAATGTAGTCCAAGCAGCAAGAGAATGAAATGTTATTCCATATGAAGACCTACAAATCAGGTCGTTGGTTGCAATGCCCTTGTATTTCTTTATGAACTGGATGTTGGGAAACCATTGTCCTTATACACTAAGTGGATTATTTGGAAGAATGGTGTATGATTATGACACAACATTTTACAACTGAGCCTTTTGCAATGGAAAATGTGCTGCACGGCTATTGTAGAGATGCATCTTTGTAAGATAGAACATGACAGATGTGACATGGATTTTAATGAAATGGTTCAAAACCTTTTTAATGTAATCTACTCAACCTTTGTGTTATATAAAATGAATATTAGTTGAAAGAGTGTGATTGATCATATAAATTTCTTCAAATGTTTTGCACCTACTTTAATTTTTTTGGAAACATTATTTTGATGTGCTGGTCTAGGTCTTTGTTAAGAGTTAATATTAAATTTTTTGTGATCCATAATTAAAATCTTAAAATAAGATATGGCAAAAAATTACAATGCACACACACAATATTCTGTTTTGCAAGCAACTAATTTTGCAATAAATATATTTCATTTTTCTTCTTCACATAGCCCTGGCATGGATCATTATTCCACAGGTCCACATTGGTTTCTTTTCTGAACATTTTCTTTTTAACTCTTGGAGAATCTTTGTTGTTGTATGTTCCAGTTTTGCCATTTTCTCTGCTCTTACACTACTACATTTTCCTGAGAGTCCAATGTTTTTACTGAAGGTAACGATTATTATAATTACTTCCTGTTGTTTGTCGCAACACATTATTTAATTTAACACACATGTTACAAGATATCATACTTTACTTACCACACATGTTACAAGATATACTTTAGTTACCACACCAGTTACAAGATACCACACACTTACCACACTTGTTACAAGATATCATACTTTAGTTACCACACCAGTTACAAGATATCATACTTTAATTACCACACCAGTTACAAGATACCACACTTTACTTACCACACCCATTACAAGATATCATACTTTACTTACCACACTTGTTACAAGATATCATACTTTAGTTACCACACTCGTTACAAGATATCATACTTTACTTACCACACTCGTTACAAGATATCATACTTTAGTTACCAGACCAGTTACAAGATATCATACTTTACTT